TTAATTTGCTAACAGCTATAATCAAAACAAAAGCAGTGATTTCAATTATTAGTTTTGTAACTACAAGGGTAAACAGAAACATTTCATGAATTCAATCTTTAGTAAACTACCCACTGTCTGCCAGGACTTTCACCATTCTCAGCTCCGATTTTTCACTCACTGGCTGCCTAGTTGTTCACTCTTGACCATGTCATCTTACCGCTCAAAAATTTTTGGTGGTTCTGTTGACTATAGAACCAAGTATAAAATCCCTTTCCTGGTTTGTATGTTCCATCAGTACATGGGATGTGATTCCTGCTAACAGCACATAGTGGATAACTACCATTAGTCTAGGAATTTGGTAAACTCATCTCAGAGGAATTGTATCCACATGTCTTTACCTCTGTTATTAAGCCTATAAAAGTAAAATCAACATATAGGATCTGGCAGGCTCATAGCAAGCTATACTATCCTAAGAGATTCACTAAGATTATGCCAAGATGAGAAAGGGAAGGAGGAAAAGTATTTATATAGCTCCTACTATCTTCCAGGCAGTGTGCTAAGCACTTTATCAATGTTATCTCATTTGATTGGAAGATGGGAAATTTAAGCTGGTATCTCTCTTAATCTAGTCCATCTCACTAGGGAAATAAAACCTAATTTGATTTAATCCATTTTACATGACAAGGTCCAATAACTGAAAGCTAGAAGCCATATTTAAAGTCAGAGAACATCAAAACTACAAAGTAACTTGGAAATAATGTACAGATGAGCAGACTGAGACCCAAAGAGAAATGACAGGTACCCAAAATCACACAATAAGTGGACAGGAGGGATAGGAGCAGAATTCAGGTTTCCTGATTCCGAGGTATGATGACTTCGAAATATATGTTGCTAAACAGATACTTCTCCAGCTCAGGACAATCTGTTCAGCTTAAGCTATCAGCATGACTAGGAGCGAATGCATCAGACAGAGCAGCATTTGGGAGCAGGGGTGCATTGATGGCTATGTTCCTACTACGTAAACACACACTCAAAAAATGCATATAATATTACAGAGTCATCATGAGTAGAAAGATTAGTTCATATACCAGAAAAAAAAATTCAAGTGGAGATTTTCTTTTTTTTTTTAAATAACAAAATCACAGTGTTTTGGAGCTAGAAGGGTATCTTAAAAATAATCTAATTCAATATGTCATCTTAGCAAGAATGAAACTGAGGTCTGGAGAAAAAAAATAGCAAAAAATGATCACACAGCTATAAAAGTCAGCTTCACAGCTCAAGTCACCCAATCCAGTACTCTTCACACTACAGAATTAAAGGAGCTATTAGAAATTTTGTGTCAGACACATATTGTTCAATGACACTTTAACAAAGAAACAATAAAATTAATTGAGAGTTAAGACCCATTGGGGAAAGCATCTTATAACCTTAAATCACCATATAAGTCTGAGTTACTATTATCATTATACTTCAATATTGAGACAGCCTAAAGATCTTTACATTTAAAAGGAAAATTATGTGGTTTGGGAGTGCAGAAAAAAAGGACAGGATTTAAGCAAGCAGTTAAAATAATCTTCAATGACTACTCAATTCAAAAGAAAATACCACCAGGAAGGAAAACAGATTTGCCAAATAAAAACTCCAGCTATTAAGATACTTCAGAGACCTCTACAACTACAAACTACGTTATTACTAATATAGGTGATACATTATTAACATCCTTTGATACTCACATGTCTTGACTGAGACAACTGGTCCTAAAATATTAAGGCAGTGTTACCTTTCAAAGTTTTTGCCCACTTTTTTTTGACTTCAGGAGTTTTTTTAAATTATTTGGAGGTTAATTCTATTGTTTAACTTCAGGTTTCTTTTAAGCAAGCAAGTTTTTTGTTTCAATTGAAAAACTGAAAAATTTTGGAGTTTCCAACGGGAAATGCACTAGTGTAATTATCTTTCTTGAAACTTGTAAATATTTGTCCGTCTCTCTCTCTCTCTCTCTCTCTCTCTCACACACACACACACACACACACACATTTACATGTATAATATATATATACACACACACACATGTGTAGTACACACAGATACAGACACACATACGTGTGTATGTATTTGAAAAACTGAGTTTCAAGAGAAAAGGTGGAACAAATCTACTAACATCATTACTGCACAACAACCATAGATATATACAAATTTGAGACAAAATAGTCAATATTCTTGCTACCAAATACAGGAAAATATTGAATTCAGAGAAGATTTTGGAAAAGCACATTTACATGCTTTATAAAGCAATCCATGTAGATAATGAAATATTAAGGTCAGGAAAGGCTTCTTTTTACTCCTCTGTCTGAAAGCTTCCAGTTGAAGCACATGATCCTTCACCCTGCCCCCTGACCAGTGTCAAATAACTTAGCTCCCCTCAATCACTTTCCAAATTGACACATTTTTCTCTTTGTTTTGTTTTGCCTGAAAACAAAAACACACATTTGTGGTCTGTTCCCTGGTTTTATGTTCTGTCCCCTACACCTACTGTATTTTCCAACTCTCAATATTGGTCCCACAATTGAGACTACAGACCACAAAGGAAACAAAACAAAGGAAGACAAGTTCTCAATGTTAGAGCCATCTGCCAATTCTCCTTAGGATCTTTTCAAGAACTTTGTGCAGTTAAAGGGTAGGGGGAGAAAAATCATTCATGAGAAAAGTAATTGCAATATGAAAAGAACTAAAGAAAAGGTCAGAGCTCAGATAGAACCATGAATAGAATCCAGAAGGCAACTCCTCTTTACTTCTAAATAGATGTATTGCCCCCTCTCGAATGGGGCTTTTGTCGGTTGCCAAGCATTTTAAATGTTATAGTAAGAATATGTTATTAAAGGGGGATTTAATATACAGTGATTACAAAAAAACACACTGAAGTGGCCTCGTGATTACTGACACAGAAAGCACACAAGCACCTGCTCTCGTAAAGATTATACTGAATTCTTTTTCAAAGGCACCAGAGTTTCCTAAGTACAGTATAGATGCAAGCTTTCTTTAGCAAAACAATTCTACTCTAATTTACAATTCTTTGGTCCCCTTGAGAAACCAGCAAATCTGCAATCTGGTAAACTGGAAAAATCCTCCCAAACACACTGGATAAAGCTCTCCTGCCCTGGATAATCTGAAGTTTACAATATAAAAGTTCAAAGTATATTTTCCTTTGATGAAAATCTAGTCATTGTTTTATTCAAACTACTTCCCCCCCCCAAAAAAAACAGTTTATATGTAAACTGATACAGAAGCGCCCTATACCTCTCTTGGCATCTTACTGCCTTTGCATCTTATCTTATCCCTCCCACTAGAGTAGAATATAATTTGAGGATGAGGAACAGTATTTGTTCAGTAAATATTTGTAGAATTAATGATCCTGACCCAAAGGCAAATTGTTATTTAATTTTCTGGTGAAACTTGTAATCTGTTCAGTTCTACAACAGAAGGTTTCATAACCCTTGGATATTGTAACCTGGCCAGCTCCTAATTTTCCTTTTTTCTCTAAACCTTAAGCATCACTTCTTATTTCTTACCCCAAATTCTAAAAATCTGTAGTTTAGATTTCTAGATAGAAACTTTAGTCAATGAGACATGGGGGTCTAGGAAATTCTACGTATTCACAAAGATCACAGATTTAAAGCTAGAAGGAACCTTAAAAGCCATATCTAATCCCTTCATTTTAAAGAAGAAAGAGCTGAGGTAGACTGTTTAAATGATTTTTTTCAGGTCACGCAACTAGCAAGTATCGGAAGCAGCATCTGAACCCTGGTGTTCCTGACTCCAACTCCAGAGACCCACCCACTTGTCACAATTTATGCAGAAGTGAAAAATCTCCAAATCTCTCAGTAGAATGGTAGATTAGAGGATACTAACAACTCATGAGGATCACCGATTTAAGAGTTGGAAGGAACATCAACAGTCATCTAGCTCCCTTTGTGGCACTGAAGCCCACAAAGGTATGACTTGCCTAAGGCCGCACCAGTATCAAAGAAGGATTTGAGACCAGGTCTTCTGATTCCAAATACAGCCTCTTTCCACTTATTACTTAACAACAATAACAGTAATTTTACATTTATGTAGTACTTTAGCACATAATTCACTCATTTGACCCTAACAACAGCTCTATGAAAGAGGTAATACAAGCTTTATTCACTTCATTTTACAGTAAAGGAAACCAAAGCTCAGTGGTATCAAATGATTTGTCCAAGGACACACAGCTCACATCTAGCAAGGGGTAAAGTCAATTCACAAATTCAGGCCTTTAGATTTTCAACTCCAGGGCTCTTACTGCATCAAACTTTCTCTCTATAATGGTCTATTCTGGGAAAAGATGCACATTTAGCACAGTTAGGAGAATCTGGTGTCTATTCAAGAAACACTTTTTCAATTTTGCTTTCAAAGTAACCAGTGATTGATTTCTTGAATATTCCCCTTCTTCCTCCTCACTACCATCTCTGACCTTACTTGATGCATTTGTGGATAGAGTGCTCAGAGATATAGCTATGGCCCAAACAGTCCCTATGATGCTAGTAGAAACATGAAGAAAAGAACAGCTTTTCCCACCTCTACCCTAACTGCCTCCCCAGAGCCCAGGACTTGAGGCTACGGACTAAAGTGAGAAATCTCTTTGCAAAGTTTTAACGCATGACAACTTAGTACTTGTCTAATGAATTTTAAGGCACACAAGCAGAACAGGGATGTTGGAGATTTTAATTTTCTATGCCATCCCAAAAATTATCCTATGCTGCATTAAAATCCACTCTCCACCCCCTTGAGCGCACCAGACCCGTAGGCAGATGCCTCCCTTGTACCAGGAGCAATGAAGTGACCACAGAGCCACGTGCCCCTTTGCCTATCCGCCCAGGGCCTTGAACTCTGCCTTCTTTACTGTCAGCACAGTTGATTGAGCTGCGACCCCCACTGCCCCAGCAGTCAGCAGCAGTATGCAGCAAGCAGAGGCAGAAAGCAGGAGCCAAAAAGCTGACCTCTCGCTGTGAGCTTGCTATAGATCTGGGAGTTCACTTCCTTGTCCCGCATGTAACATCGGATTTCTTCTACTGCTTCTCGGATGATGGTAACGGCCAGCACGAACCCCTAAAGAGAGAAGACAGTAGGCAAAAGAACGCAGGTGTGAGGCTTTAATAAATCTTCGCCCTTCCCATATATCCTGACCAATCTGTTCTAACAGAGAAAGGGGGAGTAGAACAGAAAGGAAGAGACTCCCAGCAGAAAAATGATCTTTTGCCTCATTTTTTCTCCTTTAATCGATAAAGTCCAAAATATTTATTTCATTGTTTTCCAAAACAGGATCACACTGATGTGTTCTCTATTTTCTCAGCTGACACTGCCAATTGTCACTTTTTTTTGACAACTGCTACAACTACTTTAGAGATTAAAAGAAAGGATTCCCTCTGATTATTTGCCACATGCAATATTTAAACTGATTCCCCAGAAGTTTAAATCCCTAACATAAACGAGACAGGGATGTGCCTCTTTGTGTGACCCTGACAAAGAACTGTAGCTCTTCCCAATTGAAGGAGGATTATTCCCATTGCCAATCTAATATAAGATGTACATTGTGGCTAAAGAAAATCTGGTCAGTTTTGGAGTAAAGTGAAAGCAGACCACATACAGAGCCAAGATAATCCCCCAGGGTCCAGTAAAGAGGTCTGACCAAGTTCACAGAAGGTTGTCAGTGCCGCTATTTTGTACCATGTGCAAACTGCTTTTCTCAAATGCTTGAGTTTCTATTTTTCTCCACGTGGGTGTGGATAATTCCCATTCATTTTAATGGAAAGTGTGTGGACACACAAAGACAAGAGACTATACCCCTTTGCTTCGAATAAATTTTGGCAATTGCTTGCACTGCCTGTGTTAGATGTCTCATCTTCTCTCCATTTATGCATTCACTTCCCATTAACTAGAAGAACATGTCCCTAAGGCTAAAAACTGCCTTACCAAGAGATGTAAATTTGGTACAAAAATAAATTCCAGCTACCTAACTTTTGGGTCAATATCCATGATATTTGGAGAAGAGTCATTTCTAAGACTTCAGGTCACTCACCGCCTTTCTGAGAAATTTTTTTCAATGACATATAATAAATGAATAAGATAGAAGATATTCAGCCATTTTAAAAGTTGGACTTCAAAAAAAACAGCTGGACTTCATCACTCTAGTCAGCTGTTACTTATTCTCCACCAACAACCCAAGAATCAGGGGTAGGCCTAGAATGAAGGGGAAGGATCAATGAGGAACACTTTTCAAATATGACTTCTCATAAGGGCACTTTTTGTTTTTAATGCTAGAAAATACTACTCTCCTTGACCCATAAGGATTCGTTTTGGAATAAGTCACATGACACATGTTGCAGTAAGGACTCAAAGCCTACAGTAGACAGTGACATACATACATACACACACACACACACACACACACACACACACACTCACTCACTCACTCTTTACTTCACTAAGCAATTTTATGCATAAATCAAAACCTTAGGACCTAGGACTGAAATCTCAAGAATTATAACTCAAGGAGCAGATTATATCACTTAGGTGGCTGTTGTCCAGTCATTTCAGTCGTGTCAACGTTTTGTGACTCCATTCGGGGCTTTCTTGGCAAAGATACTGAAGCGGTTTGCCATTTCCTTCTCCAGCTCATTTTATAGATGAGGAAACTGAGAAAAACAGCATTAAGGGACTTGCCCAGGGTCACACAGCTAGTAAGTGTCTGAGGCCAGATATAAACTCAGATGTTCCTGACTCCAGGTCCAGAGTTCTATTGACTATGCCACCTAGCTGCCCATCACCTACGTACATTTCTCAGACATTTCAATCTGTATGTAAAATGAGCTCTTATGTTGTAAACTCAAGGGAGAGAAATAAGCATTATTTGTATGAATCATTTTAGGGAAAATTTACCTTCTATGTATTAGATATTAAGGAGGAGATCTGCATGCCCCAAAATAAGTAGATGTAAGAATATCATCCCCAATGCCCATTAATTGGGCAATGACTGAACAAGTTGTGGTATATGATTGTAATGGAATACTATTGTGCTATAAGAAATGATGAGCAAGAGGACTTCAGAAAAACCTGGAAAGACCTGTATGGTCTGATGCTGAGTGAAGTGAGCAGAACCAGGAGAACATTGTATGCAGTAACAGCCACATTGTGCAATGACTAATTTTAATAGACTTAGGTCTTCTCAGCAATACAAGGATCTAAGACATCTCCAAAAATCTCATTATGCAAAATGCTATCTACATCCAGAGAAAGAACTACAGAGTTTGAATGCAGATCGAAGCATACTATTGGCTCTTTCTTTTTAATTCTGTTTTGTTTTGTTCTTCTTTCTTGTGATTTCTCCTATTGGTTCTAATTCTTCTTTACAACATGACTAATGTGAAAATATGTTTAATAGGAATGTATATGTAGAGCCTATATCAGATTGCACGCAGTCTTTGGGGGTAAGGGGCAGAGGGGGAGAAAATTTAAAACTCAAAAGCTTATGGAAATGAATGTTGAAAACTAAAAATAAATTAATTTTTAAAAAAAGACAATGATTCAAGGATCCATGAGGAAAAATATTATCCACCTCCAGAAAGAGAACTGATGGACACTGAGTACAGATTGAAGCACGCTTTTTTCACTTTATTCTTCTTGTTTTTTTGTGTTTTCTTTTGCAACACTGAAAATATGTTTTGCATGTATGAGAATACATATTTCATATGTATAACATGTTTCACAAGTATAATAATTATCATACTGCTTGCCTTCTTAAGGGTAAAGGGAGAAGTGCAAGGTAGGGAAAGAATTTGGAACTCAAAAAATGTTTTAAATGAATGTTAAAAAATGTTAATGTAATTGGTAAATATTTAATCAAATAAATAAAAAGGTAGTTTAAAAAAATATCTCCCACCTGCTTCTTTGGCTCAAACAGGACTGATGAGAACATTTTAAAGATGGATATAATGAGTATGACTAGACATGCAAAGCAGAGCCCCATAGGAGATCCAAGAGACAGAGAGATGAAAAAGAAGCAGATCATTTTGCAAAAACTGGATTAGACTGCTGGATAAACTGAGCAAGGCTCTTAGGAACACCCATTAAAAGGTCTAAAAGTTAAGAGGTCAGGAAATAAACGGCCTGGTTCTGTGAGATTTATGTTAGTGGATCCCTAGGAGAAACTAGAACCACTGAGCTGAGATGCAGGTGACTATGGAAAGGGTGGTTTTTTGACCTTGAACCAAGGAGTGACCTTGGAATCAACAAGGAAGAAAGAAAATCCCATCTTCTACAGGAAGCCTTTCCCAATCCCTCTTAATTCTAGTGCCTTCCTTCTGCTGATTATTTCCTATTGGTCCTGTACACAGCTTGTTTGAACATAGTTATTTGCATGTTGTCTCCCCTACTAGACTATGAGCTCCTTGAGGACAGTGACTGTCTTTGTCTTTCTTTGTACCCCCAGTGCGTAACACAGTGCCTAGCACATAGTAAACATTTAATAAATGTTTACTGACTGACTGAATTAAACCTAAGGCACAGGACTATTGTGTAAATATCAACAGAATTAAGAGCAAAACTGGAAAACTCACATAAAACTACAGAACACTACCACTGAGACTAGATAAGCTGTAAGACCCTCTCCATCTCTATCATTCTACAGATGAGGAAACTGAGTCTCAAAAAGTAGTGATAGTCAGAACTTGAACTCAGGTCAACTGACTCCCAGTCCAGTGCCCCTTTACCTACAGCAGAACATCTATTAAAATTGGTCACCTTCTCTTCCCTCTAAACCTGCTTTCCTATAAAAATTCCCTATTTCTGCTGTGTACCACAATCTCCACCCCTACCCCCACCCCCTGCACTGAGTTCATAACCTCAGAGTTTATCTACTAAACATTTATTAAGTACTTACTATGTGCCAAGGCAGCTAGATGGTGCAGTGGATAGAATGCTGGACCTGAAGACTCATCTTGCTGAGTTCAAATCTGGCCTCAGATACTTACTGTGTATGACCTGGGCAAGTCACTTAATCCTGTTTGCCTCAGTTTCCTCAATTGTAAAATGAGCTGGAGAAGGAAATGGCAGACCACTCCCATGTCTCTGCCAAAAAAACCCCAAATGGGGTCATGATGAGTCAGACATGACTAACAACAACATGTGTCAGGCACTTTGCTAAGTGCTTTACAAATATTATCTCATTTGATCCTCACAACAACCCTGGAAAGTAGATGCTATCATACTCCCCATTTTATAGTTGAGGGAATTGAAGCAGACATAGGCCAAGTGACTTACCCAGGGTCACACAGCTCATAAGTGTCTGAGGCGGGATTTGAACCTAGAATTTCCTGACTTCAGGCTCATCATTCTGTCCATTGTGCCAACTAACTGCCTTCCTTTTTGCTTCCCATCAATCAAAAAGCATTTGTTAAACGCATACTGTGTGCAAGACACTATACTAGACAATGGGAAAACAAAGATGAAAGTGAAACCATCCAGGCATCTCAGGAAAGACATTTCACAGATGTGTATATAGGCATATATGAAACATACACAAAATGAATAAAAATCAATTTGGGAAGAGGAGGCACCAGTAATTGGAGAGTTTCCACCCTTGATCAATTCCACCTCCACTTTTTCACATCCATCTCTTCTCTATACCCACAGTCATCACCATGGTTCAGGCCCTTCACCTTCTGCTGCCTGTACTTCTTTAACAGCCTACTAATTGGTTTCCTTGTTTCTATTCTCCCCTTCTCCAATCCATTAGTTTAAACTGTCCTCCACTCTTAAGATACATTGCCTACTCATTCTCACCTCTCAGTGGGAAATCCTTGCCTTCAAGGTTCAACTCAGAACTTAACCTCCTCCATGAGGCCTTCCTTGAACTCCTCAATAATTGGTACTCTCTCCCTCATCAGTTTTTTCTTGAGTTATGTGTATTTGTTTATGCAATGTATTCCCTCCAGTAGAACAAAGCGTCTAGAGGGGAAGGATTGGGTTTCAATTGTCTTCATATTTCCAGTGCCTAGCTCAGTGCTTGGTATAGCATAGGAGCTTAAAAGCATATACTGAATTAACAGCCTGATAAGTTAAACCACATGTATTCAGTTTAAATAAGGAGACTAAATGCTACTAACCTCATCTGTAAATAATTTGTTCCCTTATGAAAGTTATAATTAAAAAAAAGTCTAGATATTATACGCCAAGAAATTATTAAGGAAAATTGCCCTGAAGATTTAGAACAAGGAGAGAGGAAGACAGTTCAGAACTTAAAATGTAACAAAAAATAAATTATATTTAATCTTAAAAATAATAATAATTGTTCCCTTCGACCACAAGCTATTTACCAGTGAAGCAGTTTCATATTCTAAATGTACCATGGTAGAAAAAGCCATTCCAAAAGGGGAACACTAGAGAGAAGTAAAAAGAAATGGGTAACCACTGACTTCTTGGGGATGGGGTGGCAGCAAAGTAAGGAATTGGGGCTATCAGAAGAGTCTACCAGCAAAGAAAATGTCAGAAAGCCTACTATTCAGGGTTGCCTCTGTTCTGTTTCGTTACAAGGCATCTTTAGAAATCCCAGACCTTGCTTTTCTAAATTTTCTCTGATTTTCTGGAATAAGCCAGCCACACAGGATTAAAAACTTAGATAGAAACCTGGTTTTCAATCAATACCTTAGGCCTGCTCATACCACCTAACTCCCCAGAGAAAGCAGGAGTTTAGCCTATGCAAAAAAGTATTTCCAGCTAGGAAACAGCCCAGCATGCAACACACCACATTACCTTAGTTAAAGGTTATTTTTGTTAATGATAAAAGTTACCTCTATTGATTATTTTTCCACTGAAAGCCCTTATGAAAATTTTGTCCCAAGCTCCTGTGTAGGAACAAATCCCTTCTCGAGACATTATACTCTACTTATTGTTTAGTTACTTTCAATTGCGTCCAATTCTCTGTGACCCCATTTGGGTTTTCTTGGCAAAGATACTGGAACAGTTTGCCATTTCCTTCTCCAGCCCATTTTACAGATGAGGAAGCAGAGGCCAATAGGGTGAAGTGACTTGGCCATGGTTAAACAGCTAGTAAGTGTCTGAGGCCACATTTGACTCTAGGCCTGGTTCTCTATCCCACCATGCCACCTAGCTGCCCATTCTAACTATCAGTTTCTAGGGAACTGAAACAGTCCATGACCTAATAGGACAGACACTTCCATAATGTTAAGAATGGAAAAGGTACATGGGGGAGGGAAGCCAAGGCACTTTTTCATCTCCCATCAGCCTCGCCCTGTGCTGAAGTTCTATCAGTATGTTCCAAAGTACTTAGCAACATCCACCTTCCCTTCCAAAGTTCAAGTTTGCAAGGCTGGTGCTCCAAAGGTATTTTCTCCTCCTCTGAAATACTCTGTCAAATCAAAGAGAATAGACCTCAACCAGAGGTTTTGGTTATTACCACACAAATCAAGCATAATTTGCCCAAGATCAAAATAAGTACTCTTTTACTAGTCCTAAAAGGAAAAAAAAAAGCCAACAATATTGCAACAACTGAACATAGTCTGTCCTATCAAATTATGCTTCCTGACAATTTGTATCAAATAAATTTCCTTAAAAGAAAAATTCTTAAGGCACAATTCATTCAATAAATCATTACTAAGTGACCACTACAGGCAAGGCCACATGCTGTGTGCTCTGATTTCCATACATTTTTCACTAATCTTACACTTTTATCAACTGCAACATAATTTTCTGATTCTATCCTCAAACTTTATTCTCTTCTTAAATTTACTCTGAAATAAATACTGGAATGGCACACAATATCTGAATTTCTGATCAGTTTACCCAAAAAAAGCAGCTTTTCTCCTCATAATTAGTCAATCCACTTTATCAAGCCTGTTTGAGATCATTACAGGAATGGCTTCAATAGTCTCTTCACCAAAGTAGAAAGTCTATACCCAAAATCAGTCCCACCACCTTTATTGCACCTTTCTCCTCTCTAACAAAAGAGAAAGACAGCAAGAAGGCGAAGACACACGCTTTTGAAAACTGTGTTCACTCTTCAAGTTTTCTATCTCTTTAAGTGGAAGGGTGAAACATCCCTGCCCTTCTTCACTCATGCCAGAAGGTCAGAAATCTACTTAAATTCATGTATGTGTTTTTCAGTTAGCTCCTTAAATCTCAGCTGTAAATGAAGGAATTGAATGAAAGGATCTCTAGGCTGCTAGTTGACAAAGTTAACTGAGTGACAGATTAGAAGCCTGGAAGACCTAAGTTTGAATCCTGTCTCAGACATTTACTAGCTCTGTCACCCCAGGCAAGTCATTTAACATCTCTCAGCCTCAGTTTCCTCATCTGTAACATGGGAATAATAACAGTATCTCACTGGGTTGTTGTGAGGATCAAATGAACAGCATATGTATAAAGCATTATGCATCAAACCTTGAAGCTCTATATAAATTATAGTTATTATCTCTTTCAGTTCTAAATCCCATTATTCTATAATCATTCTATGATCCATATTCCTTAGGAACAGGTTTTAGCTTAGGCAGCATCAGGTCCAAATTACCTCTGACAACTCTTTCCATTGAAAATGATAAGTGTTTTTCAAAAAGGGCCTGGGCCCCCAAACATTCTTAAATGTTTGTTAAGGAAACAACCTTAAGGATTAGAGACCAATGTCTGTAAAAATAAATAAGCACAAAGTCAGTTCCTGGAGAGAAGAGGCTGAGAAGTTTGTAAGTTCAATTTCTTCCTTAATAGCCTTCAAAAGCTCAGTGAGACCAACACTATTACCACTTCCAATGGTCACATTAATAAATACATCATGGCTCCTAAAAATAGAAAATGGGGTTTGCCAAAGTCCATTCAGAGCCACCCAGGAAAGTCTCATTTTATGGGAGATCACATGTCAATCGAGCTTCCATATGACATCCCAAACCTGTCTACACTCAAAAGGCTCCCTTGGTGAGTCAAGCAAGGCTAAAGTCTTCCCTCTGCCACATACCGGCTGTGTGGTCCTAAACAAGTCCCTTAACCTCTCAGTGCCCCAGGCAACTCTGTAAGACTTTTAAGTTGCAGAGGGGTAGAGGAAATTTCCTTTCTAAAGATTATCTACACCAATGAAATAACAGGTCTGGGCAATTTTTTTAAAAGGCTCTTGGCTCATAAGGATGGCTGGGTTAAAGTAACAAAGAATTCTTTGTTTTATAACACTGAAAGGTTCTTGAATAAACAATGTTAGTTTACTTACCAGGGGAACCCAGTATGTGTAAAGTGCTCCAAGTCTCATTTCAGAGACAAACTGAGAACAGGCCAAAAGTAAGAAGTAAAGATTGAAAAAGTATTTGAACTGATTAAACAGCACCTGTAATGAAAATAGAATAAAATATATATAAGTGGGGTGGAAGATTTGGGGGAAATTATGGTGGAAAAAGCACTGCTGAGGGAGAAAGATAAGGAAGGGTTATACAGTGACTAAACTCCTGAAACAGGCTCCAATGGGTTACTTTAATTCATAAGCATGACATAAAAGGCAATAAGCCAAAATGTCAATTCCTTTAAAAATTTGCAGCCATTCAACCTTGCAGGTGCCACTACTCCATGGGTCCTATTCAAGGAATGATTTACAGTAGGTAGTCAACATTGCAATGAAAAATGCTGAAGCCTCCTAGTACCTTCCTGGATAAGGCCTAAATGTCACTCCCCTACTGCATGGCTCCAGTCTTCTCTAAATAGACCCAATCCTTCAAGTGAGGGGTAAAGGAAAGACAGAACTAAGGAAGGAGGGGCTAGCCTCCATACATACCCCTGGAAGAAAGGTAAACAGGCTGTACTTCTGATTATTGATCACATTTCGAGGATACCTCTGGTCCCTTTTTTCTGGATGACCAAGCCAGACTGTTCTAGGCCGCGGATCTCCTCGGCCACAGCATCTTAGACAATCACAACACCTGAGAAAAGAATACAATCAGCTTTACAGAAGTGATTGGGCCCGCTGTTCTTACCAGACACGTTTTTTCCCTTAAGTCAGCCATACTGTCTCACGCAGGGTCTAATTTTAAGGGTCTAGCTTTGGGAGGACCAGAAACAGAGGCTATAATCCCAGAGCCCAACACTCCTTTATCCTTTCTGCTGTTGCTACCATTGGGGCAATAGGAGCACCATGGGCATGGTCGTCCAACATGCCATGGCTAGGGGTCTCAACAAGGGAAGCAAAGTGACAAAGACTATAGTGAAGTGGCAACACAGCCACTAATGTAGACTCTAAACCAAGTACATCCAATTTGTGATGTGTATATGGTTTTCCCTCTATAACAGGTAGGCTACGTGTGATAGGATCAGGATCCCCTCTTTTCTCTGAAACAAGGATTAGTTTTTCCTAAGATGCAACAAAGCTATCCCTGGGACTTTACTGACCCCTGCCTCCCTCCCCTGATGGAGCTTCCAGATCACGAGAAATAAAAATCACCCACAAGGAGTCAGCACCCTTCCAACTTATTGTACGTCTGACGACCACACAAGTTACCATACCCCGTCCTGCTGACCAGTGCATTGTCATAAGGAACTAAGGTGAGGCAAGTCCAGGGAAACTAAGTACAACTGTATCTTTGTTGCATATCTTTGCTGTATAAAGTAAACCTCATACATACATACAAAGTAAACCTTATTCTGTTAGCTGTTTAATGAGCTATGAGTGCCTCATTTCATCCTAACATTAAAAGTGAACTAATAGGGTACTTGGACCCATCTTTAACACCATGGAATTGTAAAAGTCTCCAAGGATAATCAGGCTCTGAAGTTCCTTTTTTAAAATAGGCTGAGACTAATAGAAACACACCCCAAGAATGTCATTGATAAAAGACAGGCTCCACATACATCAAAATATTTATAGCAGCATTTTTGTGTATGTGCTAGTAAACAACTAGAAACGAAATAGACGCCCATTAACTGTAAGAAACAATGGATATGAAGAAGACAAGCATGGAAAGATTTCCATAAATTGATTCAGAGTGAAGTAAGGAGAACCAAAAAGATAACATATTCAGTGAATCCAACAATGTAAATGGAAAGAACCATTACAAAACACAATCAAAAATGAATATTACAAAATCACAAAGGTCAAGAATGGTTTCAAAAAAAGACATAATGGGGCAGCTAGATGGCACAGTGGATAGAGCACCAGCCCTGAAGTCAGGACGACCTGAGTTCAAATTCAGCCTCAGACCAAACACTTGACATTTATTAGCTGTGTGACCCTGGGCAAGTCACTTAACCCCAACTGCCTAAATTAAGTAATCAATTAATTAGCTACAAAGGACATATGAATCTGCATCCAGAGAATGAACTGATAAGCAGAAGTATATGTAGAATGATTTTACATATATACAATATTTGTGTCTAATGGTAGCCATCTCTAGGGGGGGAAGAAGAAAAAATGTACATGAGTATTTTATATTTAAAAGGAATAGCAGGTTGTATATAATAGATTTGCAGTTTTCATGTGCAATCATCAACTTTTTTATCATACTATGTTATAGAAATGCTTGTTTCATTCCATAAATTAAAAGTAATTTTTTTAAAAGGAAGAATCCCACATACTGCATATAAACTGCCTGAGGTAGATAATGGAAGCACATGAACAACATTCAAGTAGGATGGGTGGGAAAAGATGGATTGAGATCTTAATCTCTGGAAGGCAATGGATCCAATAAAATGTTCATAAAACAGGAAAGGGGATAGTAGGTTTTTTTCTAGCAAAAAAAAACTTCGAGGGGAAAAATATAACAATAGCTCACATTCATATTGCATACTGCAATTTAAAAACCATCCTATGACTGACCATCCTCCTTTAATCCTTACAACAACCCTGTAAGATATGTAATACAAGTTTCAGCTTCTCCATAAGATAATAGAAATCTCAGTACTGAAAGTACTGAGATGACTCATTGTTTATCATAAAAGTTATTCCCTTCCTATGGCACTAAGAGGCTTTATGATTAAAGGTCAAGTTGTCACAGAAAGCTCCAAAGTCTTCCTCCAATTCCTTGTTGTGACAAGACAGAGTGGCACCATGAAGGAGCCACATATACACGAATATTGAGAGAAGCTCTTTTGGTGGAGGCAAAAAACTAGAAACAGAGAGTGCCTATCAGCTGAGAAGTGGCTAGGCAAATTACCATATTTCACTACATAATCCTTGCCATCATATAATCATCGCACCCTATTTTTTCAATCCAAAAATTGATTTATAACCTTTCATTGCATAATCATCACATGGCATAATTCTGTTCATCACAATGCTTAAAAGGTAAACAGAGAATCAATGTATACACCAGTGGCATATGGACAAGCATTTATCTCTTGCACATTGCAAGCTTCAAGCCTAGAATTCTCAGCACATGTGCACTGGCAATATATTTCTGAAAGCCAACTTGTGTGGTTTATTTAGAGCGCTGCAGTACCAACAGTATTGTCACTCCCCAACAAAGAGTCATTGGCACAAGTGGAACAGGTGGACAGGCAAAGCTGCCATGAGTAAGTCAGAGATATGGTAAGATTTGCATCTTCCTATGCTAGCTAAACTGTACAGTTCGTATGTCAGCAACAGAGTTTAATAATAAATGATTTTTAAGTAATACCCAGCACAATTTTTAAAAGCTTCACATAATGGTCATACCTCACTTTTTTACAAAAAATTTGCCATAAAATCTGCAATAATTATGCAGTGAAATACAGTATGGTATGTGATGGGAAGAGAATACCATTGTATCATTAAAAACGATCAAACAGATGGGTTTGAGAAACCTGAGAGAATTTGTGTGAACTGATTCAGAGTGAAGTGAGTAGAATCAAAAGATCCATTTATAGAATAACAACACTGTAAAGAAAACTCTAAAAAACTTAAGATCTCTTACCAATGCAATGACCAATTATGAGTCCAGACCCTGGTGATGATTTATGCAACCCACCTGACAGGTAAAAGATTCAAGATACAGAATAAGATGTATGCTTTTGGATATGGTGAATATGGGACTTTTTTTGGCTCAACTATACATATTTGTTATAAGAATTAGCTTTTTCTTTTTCCTTTTCCAATAAGGATGGAGGCAGGAGACAAAATAGATTTTTTAATTCAAAAAATAAACTTGAGATTCAAAAAAAGGTAAAACTTCATTCTCCCACAAGTCCTAGAATGCCAGAAAGCTCCTAATATTGGCCTAATGACAGTCTATGTGTCTGTCCTCAGAAGATCAATCCGGCTAGACAGACAGGTTCATCACCAAAGGTTGGCATCCAGGTAATGAATTACTGTGGCCTGAGCAATGCATGAAGACAAAGAGGGTTGCAATCTGCATCAGTGGAGCTAGCACACACATTAATGAGTACCAGAGACTTTTTAAAAAACATTAAGTGATTCTTCCAAAACCTCAAAGGTAGCAAGTATCAGAGGGGGGATTTGAACCCATGTCCTCTGGCTTCAGAGTCAATAGTCTTTCCACTATACCAGGTCTGTTCTTGAAATGAAATGTGAAAATACAAGGGGTCCCAAAATACTCTGTATGCATATTAACAGGAAAAGAAAGAATACTTCCCTTACTCTTTCCCCAAGAGTATGATGGATTGCTGGCTTTCTCTTCCCTGTCTTCTCCCTGGATAAAGCCAGAGAAGACACTTTCCAAAGGCAAACACCTTGGAGATTTGCCAGCCTGACCTGAAAGTTCAACAATCCACCGTTTCTCCCCCAATATCCTGAGAACCCAGCATGTTACCACCAACACGGTGAGCCATGTGGCCTATAAGGTCAGTCACACACATGGCAAGGAAACACCTGGGAATCTGGCATTATTATTAGATTTCTGGAATGAAAGAAAGCAGCACTAGGAACCCAAACGTAAAGGCAGCTACATCCAAAGACCTACCTGATGCTTAAGACCTAACAAGTAGATGCTTAAAAAAAATGTTCATTAAATTGAATCTCCCTTACCTGCACAGGGAATAATAATAATAAATAGCATTTATATGATACTTTAAGGTTTGCAAAGCATTTTATGTTATTTCATTTGATCTTCACAGTGACTCTGTGAGATAGGTCCCCATTTTACAGATGAGGAACTGAGATTAAATTTAATATACTGACTAATTGCTATTTGTCATCCTGGCTAAAGCTAAGAAAAAAATAAGTCTCCATTTAAGCTAACCTCTTTATCTTGAGGTCTACACATTCAGTACTAGAAATGAGCTGCTCTTGATATGAGGTGTTTGAGTTCCTGAAGACCTGCCACCCTTCTCTAATGGAGATGTCTATAATTTCAAGGATGAAATAAAATGCTCATGCTTAAAAATAGAAATCTTTCTGCCTCTAATGTTACTGGAATAAAGGTCATTTTATTTCTGGAAGCTGAATCAATTTACTTAATTTCTCAGTTATGTAAAACCACAAATCTAAACGATTACATAAAAAAAATTAGCTTATATTTTTGCAGTGCTTTTCAAGTTCCTCACAACTCTGTGAGATACAATGAGCTAATATTGACATCCCAATTCTATAAATATGGAAATTTAAGCTCAGATATGTAAAAACTGAGAGTCAGGAAAGACCTAGAATGATTCAAATCTACCTTCAGATATTTATTAGCCATGTGACCACAGTCAATTAACAGTTCTATGCCAGTTACCTCATCTATTGGATAGATACAGACAAGACTTGTGATTTCATGGAAGCCCTCTGATGAGGAGGCATGCTGTACCAGAACAGGTTGGCCTCTTTTCTGAAATGTATAGACATAAGGAGTCCCCCAGCACTAGAACATTAAGAGGTTAAGTGACTTGCTTGGAGTCAGACAGCCAATGTGTTGAGTGCAAAGCTTGCACCCAGGTCTTCCTAGTTCCAAGGGCAGCTCTGTATCTACCATGCCCTACCACCATCAAGAAAATGGAAATACCTGTAGCA